CGGATCGCGGTGCTGTGCACTCCCAGGGAGCACGCACAAGCAGGGGGCGGAGAGGCCGTTGATAAAGGGCCAACTGACCCTGCAGTGCCACCGTCTGGCCGTTTATATACAACGGCTTGGATGGGAAGTGGTTAAAGTAGATGTAAGCCTTCACCTTAAACAACCCATTGAGTTTAAAATAGAAATGAAAGGCAAAACGTTTGTGTATAGATAGAAAAAATACATTATAAATACCTTTTCTTCCCTCCCATTTATTGTTCAGTGCAGCTAAGGCTGCAGAGAAAGGGACTGGGGGATCTCTGTCCTTGGTCTCTTTCTTTGTCTCAAAAGTGAGATTTATGCAGGCCATACATGGCTCGAATTCCGAACATTTTTTCGTCCGAAAATCGGAAACGTTGTTCGCTCGGTAATCCAATGGTGCCATCACTGATTTCGAATATCGGCCGACCGAGTCAGAAAGTTCCCCCCATATAACAGGCAAAACTTCTGTACCTTCCAGGTTACAGCTCATGCGCATATTCTTTTCGGAAAAATTATCGTACAATTTGACCATCATTGAGTCGAAAATCGGTCATTTTTTACAAATTGTCCAACATGCCCGATCACTGAAAAGGGGAGGAACCACGAAAATCGGCCGGTGCCATTGACCCACTAAACAGAGCGAAAATCAGCCGATTATTCTTAGGTTTGATTTTCGAACAAAATATTTGTTGATTTTCTACCCATGTATGGCCGGCCTTAAGGGGTCTTTTTAGATCAGGGGCGGACTGAAAATTTGGAAACTCGGGCAGTGCCCGAGGGCCCGGGGTCAGTAGGGGGCCCCATGAGATGCCCCTGGTACCTTTTTCATAGGCTTTTTTGAGTTTGGGCAAGGACACAGGGGCCCCATGATCCCCTATTGCCCGGGGGGCCCCATGAGTTGTCAGTTAGCCCCTGATTGGACCTATCCTGCGTGGATCGTCGGCTTGCTTTACAACTTACCTTTTTTGTGTGGAGCGGGTCCGGTGTCACCCCGTGCAGTCGGTGTCACCCGGTGCGGCGTGCACCCCCTGTACCTGCCTTGGGATGCCACTGCAGACTGGTGCCGGTTTTCAGGGCACCTCCACATGTGAGTGTGAGCCCGGGTTCACATATATGCAGTGTGTTGTCAGTCCACCCCTGGTTTAGATCCCTGATATTTCACCCCCCCCCCCCCAACAGGGCTCCTAAAAAAATGTAGAAAATAAAAGATAATGTTGTAAATAAACTGCCCTGCCAACACCAACCTCTGCCCTACTGACTCCAATCTTTGCCCTACTGACACCGTCCACTTCCCTACTGACACCGTCCCAGGGGAGGACTGACAACTCATGGGGCCCCGGGCAATAAGGGATCATGGGGCCCCTGTGCCCTCGCCCGCACGCATACCACACCCAAAAAAGTCTATGAAAGGTTCCAGGGGGATCTCTTGGGGTCCCCTACTGACCCCAGGCCCTCGGGCAGTTCCCGAGTTCCCGAATGGTCAGTCCGCCCCTGCACCGTCCACTGCTCTTCTGACACATCCACTGCCCTACTGACTGACACCATTCACTGTCCTGCCAACACCAACTCTGCCCTATTGACTCCAAGCTTTGCCCTACTGACACCGTCCATTTCTCTACTGACACCGTCCACTGTTCTTTTAACACATCAACTGCCCTACTGGGTGACACCATTTACTGCCCTACTGACACCAACCTCTTCCCCTATTGACACTGTCCACTGCTCTATTGATACCGTCCAATGCCCTACTAATTTACACATCCACTGTGACAACGTCCTCTGTCCTACTGACTGACACCATTCACTATCTTACTGTCACTAACATCTTCCCCCATTGGCACTAACCTCTTCCCATATTGACACTGTCCACTGCTGTACTGATACCATCCAATGCCCTACTGATTGACACATCCACTGCCCTACTGACACCATCTGCTGCTCTACTGACTGACACCATCTACTGTCCTACTACCACCAACCTCTGCCCTACTGACACTATCCGCTGCTCTACTGACACCATCCCCTGCCCTACTGACACCATCCATTGCTCTCATGACAATGTCCCCTACCCTACTGAGACCATCCACTGCTCTACTGACACCATCCACTGCCTTATTGACACCATCCACTGCCCTACTGACACCATCCACTGCCCTACTGACACCATCCACTGCCCTACTGACACCATCCACTGCCCTACTGACACCATCCCCTGCCCTACTGACACCATCCATTGCTCTCATGACAATGTCCCCTACCCTACTGAGACCATCCACTGCTCTACTGACACCATCCACTGCCTTATTGACACCATCCACTGCCCTACTGACACCAGCCACTGCTCTACTGACACCATCCACTGCCCTACTGACACCATCCACTGCCCTACTGACACCATCCACTGACACCAGCCACTGCTCTACTGACACCATCCACTGCCCTACTGACACCATCCACTGCCCTACTGACACCGTCCACTGCCCTACTGACACCAGCCACTGCCCTACTGACACCAGCCACTGCTCTATTGACACCATCCACTGCCCTACTGACACCGTCCACTGCCCTACTGACACCAGCCACTGCTCTACTGACACCAGCCACTGCTCTACTGACACAGTCCACTGCCCTTCTGACACAGATCACACCCTGTCCACTGCCCTACTGACTTACAATGTCCACTCTTAAAGGATAAGTTCACCCATATTCAGGGTGTAACATGTTATGAATAGACCGGCCTCTGCCCCCCGCTTTAATAACTAAAAGGGGTTTTTCTCCTCCCACTAGCTGTCAAAATTTGTAAAAAACACGGCCAAGTGGGGCTACGCCTGCCCGCAAGCGTCACCCGTTCACAGTCTGCTGTGCATGAGAAACTACAAGTCCTGACAGCCTTAGTGGCTGTCGGCTTGCAGTTCTCAATGAACCACCATGGTGCTGTGGAGCGCTGTGATAGTTCATTGAATACACCCCGTACATCCCATACATCCCATCCCGTACACCCCATACATCCCGTACACCCCGTACATCCTGTACACCCCTTACATCCAGTACACCTCTTACATCCCATACATCCCATCCACCCCGTACACCCCTTACATCCCGTACATCCCATCCACCCCGTACACTCCATACATCCCATGCAAGCCATACATCCCATACACCCCATACACCCCGTACATCCCGTACATCCCGTACGGGCAATGAACCACTATGGTGCTGTGGAGCACCGTGATAGTTAATTAAATCTTCCTGTCAGTATATCTGCTTGCCCGTACATCCCATACATCCCATACACTCCGTACACCCCGCACATCCCGTACGGGCAATGAACCACTATTGTGCTGTGCTGTGATAGTTCATTGAATCTTCCTGTCAGTATATCTGCTTTTGCCCGTACATCCCATACATCTCGTACACCCCGTACATCCTATACACCCCGTACATCCCATATATCCTATACACCCTATACACTCCGAACATCCCGCACATCCCATATGGGCAATGAATCACCTTGGTGCTGTGATAGTTCATTGAATCTTCCTGTCAGTATATCTGCTTGCCTGTACATCCCATACACCCCATACATTCCGTACATCCCATACATCCCATACACCCCATACATTCCGTACATCCCATACACCCCATACACCCCATACATCACATACATCGCGTACATCCCATACATCCACTACATCCCATACATCCTGTATGAGCAAGCAGATATACTGACAGGTGTGCAGAAGACCTGCATGGCACTAGCAATCTACTGACCACTGGTCCAATGGTTTACATGCTCTTGCAAAAACAAAAAAAATAATAAATGCACATTTTCTTACCTACAAAAAAATGTGTATTTATTATGTTTTAGCAAAAGGTGAACTTATTCTATAGAAAACTAAGTTTATTTTTTCACAGTGACATTTTTTATTAAATTTGTCTAAGTTTCCTTTTTATTTAGTTATGCCTCGCTTGTTAATATTTAAAAAAAATAAGGGCTCCCAACCCGATGATCTTTGATCGCTTTCATGTTGTTCAGGAAGATCTCTGCCTTTCAAAGGTTGCCTACCCTGCTCTATAATTTATGATATTTTTGGTAGACTATGGCACATTTAAATATCTTTGTATATTTGGGCAGCACAGTGGCTAAATGGTTAGCACTTCCACCTGGCAGAACTAAGGCCGTTGGTTTGAATCCCAACCACAGAACCACCTTCCTGGGGTTTGCATGTTCTCCCTGTGCCTGTGTGGGTTTACTCCGGTTTCCTCCCACACTTCAAAGACATGCTGGTAGGTTAATTGGCTCTGTCTAAATTGTCCCTAGTATGTGTTTCCAATGAATGTGAATTAGGGACCTTAGATTGTACGCCCCTTGAGGGTTAGGGACTGATGTGAATGTACAATATACCGTATTTTCCTGCGTACTGACCCCCCTACTTTTCCTGTTAAAATATAGGGTTTGAACTATACTCGTCGTATAAGACCCCCTCTTCCAACGCACACCAAATAAAAACATCAGATTTGATTTCAATATGGTATGCTGTTTCAGTACGGTATTCCAATGATGGGGCACTATTCCCCCCACTGATACCAATGATGGGGCACTATTCCTCCCACTGATAATAATGATGGGACACTATTCCTCCCACTGACACCAATGATGGTGCCCCATCATTAGTGTCAGTGTGTGAGGAATAGTGCCCCATCATTGGTATCAGTGGGAGGAATAGTGCCCCATCATTAGTCAGTGGGAGGAATAGTGCCCCATCATTGGTGTCAGTGGGAAGAATCGTGCCCCATCAGGTGTCAGTGGGAGGAATAGTGTCCCATCATTAGTGTCAGTGGGAGGAATAGTGTCCCATCATTGGTGTCAGTGGGAGGAATAGTGCTCCATCATTGGTGTCAGTGGGAGGAATAGTGGCCCATCATTGGTATCAGTGGGAGGAATAGTGCCCCATCATTGGTATCAGTGGGAGGAATAGCGCCCCATCATTGGTGTCAGTGGGAGGAATAGCGCCCCATCATTGGTGTCAGTGGGGGGAATAGCGCCCCATCATTGGTATCAGTGGCAGGAATTGCGCCCCATCATTAGTGTCAGTGGGAGGAATAGCGCCCCATCATTGGTATCAGTGGCAGGAATTGCGCCCCATCATTGGTGTCAGTGGGAAGAATCGTGCCCCATCATTGGTGTCAGTGGGAGGAATAGTGTCCCATCATTAGTGTCAGTGGGAGGAATAGTGTCCCATCATTGGTGTCAGTGGGAGGAATAGTGCTCCATCATTGGTGTCAGTGGGAGGAATAGTGGCCCATCATTGGTATCAGTGGGAGGAATAGTGCCCCATCATTGGTATCAGTGGGAGGAATAGCGCCCCATCATTGGTGTCAGTGGGAGGAATAGTGTCCCATCATTGGTGTCAGTGGGAGGAATAGCGCCCCATCATTGGTGTCAGTTGGGGGGAATAGCGCCCCATCATTGGTATCAGTGGCAGGAATTGCGCCCCATCATTAGTGTCAGTGGGAGGAATAGCGCCCCATCATTGGTATCAGTGGCAGGAATTGCGCCCCATCATTGGTGTCAGTGGGAGGAATTGCGCCCCATCATTGGTGTCAGTGGGAGGAATTGCGCCCCATCATTGGTATCAGTGGGGAGAATAGTGCCCCATCATTGGTGTCAGTGGGGAGAACAGTGCCTCATCGTTGGTGTCAGTGGGGGAGGAACAGTGCCTCATCGTTGGTGTCAGTGGGGGAGGAACAGTGCCTCATCGTTGGTTTCAGTGGGGGAGAACAGTGCCTCATCGTTGGTGTCAGTGGGGGAGGAACAGTGCCTCATCGTTGGTGTCAGTGTGGAGGAGGAATAGTGCCCCATCGTTAGTGTCAGTGGGGGAGAGGAGCGGCTGCTCCTTCTTCCAGTGCGGCCACTCGATTTTCGCGGGGCCGCTCGGCTCCGCCTCCTCGCCGGTGATTGGTCGCCTGTGTGCCTTTCCAGTGCTGGCGCCCAATCACCGGTGAGGAGGCGGAGCCGAGCGTCCATGTGACTATCGAGCGGCCGAACTGAAAGAAGGAGCAGCCGCGCCTCCTGGACCGGATCGTCGTGGGACCGGAGCCAGGTAAGGTACAGCAGCCCCTCTGCCCACCCCTGTACTTGGTGTCCGTTGGAGGAGGAGGGGGGGCGGTGCCGCACCGCCCCTTGAAAAAGTGCCGCCCTGACACCTGCTCGCACCGGCGTATAAGACGACCCCCGACTTTTCAGAAGATTTTCAGGGGTTGAAACGCTGGAAAATACGGTATATGTAAAGTGCTGCGTAAATTGACAGTGCTATATAAGTATCTAAAATAAATATTATCTTTTGTAATAAAGCTTTGTATATTTTATCAATTTGTGATATTTTCGGTAGACTATGGCACCTTTAAAGTTCCTTTTTTCATATTCCATCTCTTCACCATATGGAGAGAGGGAGTACTATTGTTCCTTTAACTTCAGCTCCCTGCCCCTTGCTTTCTGGAAGCTCAGACAAGCTGTATGAATTCTGAACTTTGAATGAATCTAGAGAAGAGAAGACTGCAGATAAACAGGTACAACTTATATAGAAGGATTTTTTTCATCCTGTGTATCACCTGAGGCCAGTCCCTTCATTGGGTATATGTGAGGGTTTACAACCACTTTAAGCTGACTGTCGATGGCGCCAAGTCAGCAGGTGACCATACTGCCTGGACAGGCTGGCTCTATGGAGGTATGTCAATATGAAAAGCAGGATATAAAACAGAACATTTAAATATCTCTGTATATTATCTTTTGTAATAAAGTTTTGTATATTTTATCAATTTGTGATATTTTTGGTAGACTATGCCACATTTAAAGTCCCTTTTTTCATATTCCATCTATTCGCCATATGGAGAGAGGGAGTAATATTGTTCCTTTACCTTCAGCTCCCCACCCCTTGCTTTCTGGAAGCTCAGACAAGCTGTATAAATTCTAAATTTTTAATGGATATAGAGAAGAGAAGACTTCAGATAAACAGGTACAATTTATATAGAAGGATATTTTCATCCTGTGTATCACCTGAGGCCACTCCCTTCATCGGGTATATGTGAGGGTTTACAACCACTTTAACCCTCTTAATGCCGGCCGCACGCAAATGTGCGGCCTCCCGGCGTCTGGGCCTTGATGCCGTGTGGCCACACATTTGCGTGCAATTAAGGAAAACATCTGCTGAGAGCGCTCCCAGCACACATGTCTGGTACTCACAGAAAGGTCCCGATCTCCTCTTTCGATCGGGACCTTTCCCGATCATGTGACCACCGTGATGGCGTGTCACGGTGGTCACATGTCCCTAAACCCCGCCCCGCCTCCCGGCTTCTGAAACCCTTAACCCTTTGAGGACCATAGGATTACGAACGCCAAAAGAATCAATTTTTTGTTTTTAAAGATCGTAGACTTCAGTTGCTGTAACTAAGCCATTTCATGAAATAATTGGCAAAAAGCTAGATCCATTTGTTGTTAAGAACTAATATTTTGACTCAAACCAAAAAAAAAAAAAAAGTATTTTAAGTTCTTAACCTCCCTGGCGGTATGATTATTTCAGATTTTTGGTGCTGAAAGCGGTACCATTATTTTGCATGGAAATATGTAGTTTTTTTTATTGTAGGCTGTAATTTTTAGGAATAACTCACTGAAATCTGTCCGAGCAAGAGTCTAGTAAACATTCCGGGTATGATAAAATTTGAAACACAAAATCATAAATTATAATTTAATAAATAATCATAAAAAATAATAATATAATAATAATACATTTAATTCAATAATATATAATCAAACCAAAAACACTGAAATTTGAAATATAGCGCCAAGTTCGCACATCGCTGAGCAAAGTCGCAGAATCGTTTTCAGTGTCTGATGAGGAATTTCCCCCACGAATCATTATCACTCAATTCTGCAAGTGGTTCTGATTTACTATCGCTGTTCTCTAGCCGGTCTAAAACCGCTTTTGACCTAAAGGAGCGCTTTTTGGACACCATGGACGTTTCTCAGTTTCCAGGCAGAGAGAACAGTCAAAATGCAGACAGGGCACAAAAGCAGTAAGGACAAAATGTATGTGAAATGGTTTTAAACAGCAATGTTTTACTATGTAAAATTCTTTTTTAAAAAAATGAAATTTTTTTTAAATTTTCAAATTTCCCGCCGCCGCCGGCGCGCGTACGTCCCGACGTCACAGGGACCAGAACACAGAAGCGGGATGCCGGCATCAGCCGGAGGAGATGGCCGGGGACGCTGCAGGGGACGCATCGCGGGAGCGAAGGACAAGGTAAGCTCTGCAGGGACTCCCTATGCAGCGCCGCATGGTAAGCCCGAGTCTAGCTCAGGGTTACCGCTTTTGGTACTGACATTTTACCCCGAGCTACACTCGGGAATACCGCCAGGGAGGTTAATCAGATGATACAGGCAATTAAAAACATGGGACAAATACGTCCCTTGGTCCTCAAAGGGTTAAAGGGCCGGGAGGCACCGGCACCAAGGGGTTAAGCTGACTGTGGATGGCGCCAAGTCAGCAGGTGACCATACTGTCTGGACAGGCTGGCTCTATGGAGGTGACCATACTGCCTGGACAGGCTGGCTCTATGGAGGTGACCATACTCCCTGGACAGGCTGGCTCTATGGAGGTGACCATACTGCCTGGACAGGCTGGCTCTATGGAGGTGACCATACTGCCTGGACAGGCTGGTTCTATGGAGGTGACCATACTCCCTGGACAGGCCGGCTCTATGGAGGTGACCATACTGCCAGGCCGGCTCTATGGAGGTGACCATGGACAGGCTGGCTCTATGGAGGTGACCATACTGCCTGGACAGGCTGGCTCTATGGAGGTGACCATACTGCCTGGACAGGCTGGCTCTATGGAGGTGACCATACTGCCTGGACAGGCTGGCTCTATGGAGGTGACCATACTGCCTGGACAGGCTGGCTCTATGGAGGTGACCATACTGCCTGGACAGGCTGGCTCTATGGAGGTGACCATACTGCCTGGACAGGCTGGCTCTATGGAGGTGACCATACTGCCTGGACAGGCTGGCTCTATGGAGGTGACCATACTGCCTGGACAGGCTGGCTCTATGGAGGTGACCATACTGCCTGGACAGGCTGGCTCTATGGAGGTGACCATACTGCCTGGACAGGCTGGCTCTATGGAGGTGACCATACTGCCTGGACAGGCTGGCTCTATGGAGGTGACCATACTGCCTGGACAGGCTGGCTCTATGGAGGTGACCATACTGCCTGGACAGGCTGGCTCTATGGAGGTGACCATACTGCCTGGACAGGCTGGCTCTATGGAGGTGACCATACTGCCTGGACAGGCTGGCTCTATGGAGGTGACCATACTGCCTGGACAGGCTGGCTCTATGGAGGTGACCATACTGCCTGGACAGGCTGGCTCTATGGAGGTGACCATACTGCCTGGACAGGCTGGCTCTATGGAGGTGACCATACTGCCTGGACAGGCTGGCTCTATGGAGGTATGTCAATACGTAAAGCGGGATATGAAATAGAAAATCCACTCTAAGCAAAATTTGAAAGAAAAATAAAACGTGGCTGCAAGTACACCTTACCTTCAAAGAGCCACAGCTTTGAATCATACCCTGAGATCTTTCTATATTTAATGCGGTGTATTTACTTCCAATAACCAACCTTATCTATTTCTGCCGGTAAGAAAAGGCGTTTGTTCATTAGAAGTTTAACATAAAAGGACGAGCCCTGGAACACCTTTACGGGGGGACATTAAGAGATTCCGACTAACTAATTTTCACAAAGTAAGCTTTCAGAGTGATTTAAATCACGACATTACATGGCAGAGCTGGAGTTATGGCGATAATAACCGTCATTTGTGCCTTAATAGCACCGTACATCCTATCATCTCAATGCACTTCCAAGGAAAGCTCGATGCTATTATTACCTAATTGGCACTCATTTAGGCCCCATTTTCTGCTAGTTCAGAAGCCGGAGAAATGATTGATCGGGGCTGAATGCTACCCTTTGTGTCAGTAATGTTTTCTGCGCAGTGTTTCCAGGACACTGAAGGCTCTCCATGTACCGGGCTAATGTCTATTTGCTAAATAGGCATTTTAGTAAACAGGGTGGTAATCTCTGGAAATGGTGAACTGACGTTCAGTAGACAGTTCCCCCCCCCCCCCATGCTACATTGTGTCTGGGGGGGGGGTTAATTATTGTGCTCAACAATCTGACATTCAGAAAAGAGGTGGCTGCTTTTTCCTACTTCTGTACCTGTGTATTAATTATATATGGGTGTGTGGGATATGGACGGGTGTAATTATGTCTGAAA